CTGTGCACCCCCATAAGTGCTTCTGATTGCAGAACAGATGACTTGATACCGCTAAAACTTTAACGTTAAATGTGAAAATAGTCTCAGAATTTTTCCTGTGGTGTAAAAGAATCTGGTGGATTAATCTGATGGACTGGACATAGGGTATTTAATAAGTGAAGCCGCTGGCGGACGGGAGGTAGAGACCCCACCGGCTTTCTCTTTATTCTGTCTCACAGCCAATATTAAAACGCCGTAACTCCTCCTCCACCCACCCCTAGAAGCTATAAATTATAGCCGAGAAAGTATCGCCTGCGAAATTTTGAGAATCCCCAACGTCAGCTGTACTCATGATTTTTGCTTCCTTATCACACTGGCAGCTTACTTCCTGCTTAGAGTACAAACTTCACGAGATTCAAGGGCAGCAGTGACCTCTGCAGCGGGACTTTCTCCCGTGAGATGAAACCACACACGAGCCGGAGGAGAGCTCGATCGGCTGTGTACAGCCAGGCACGACTCACAGTAAATATTTATGATGCCAGGATTTGGCTTAAAGGTTAATGGTTTCATTTTATCTTCTATTTGTTGTCATACAACTCAAACAGGTTTGTTTCTATTTAAAGAATGTGGTCTGGAGTGAGCGACTGTACAGGCAGACAGTCCTATCGTCAGCGGGGGAAGGGGCATGCGACCCAGGAGGCAGTCTCAGTGAGGGTCAGTGTCCACCGGGAAGGCCCAGGCCTCAGGGCCTTTAGCTCCCTGCCTATGTGCGTGTGTGCGTCTGTGTGTGAATACCTGTGCTCGTGTGCCGCCCATTATAACTGTCTTGGGTCCCTTTTGAAATCTATTCAACTGACAGTTTAATTTTTAGCTTTTGTCTTCTTTCAAGCAGGCGGACTCTCCTGGCCTTCCACATTCATCTTTCTTTAATGCCATGTGCTATTTGCCTTTTCTCTCACCTGGGCAGCCCAGACAGCAGCTCCTGAGTGGTGTCACGTATCCTCAGCTTGTTTTCCTTTCCACTCTCACCTGCTGGCCCTGAGTCCCGGGATGGGTGAGCTGGGCTCTGCCGTGGGGACCTGGCCTTCCTGCTCTGCCCAGCGCTGCCCCGGGGGTGAGGTGCGTCAGCCGTGGCTCACCTGGATGGTCTGTGAGGGCCAGAGAAGGCTGGCTCGGTGCATGGGTGCTGGGGCCACTCATGACCCCCAGAAACTCCACACTCCTGCCCTCGTCAAGACAAAGGCCAGGGGGTGCCAGGCTGCTTTACTGCCCAGAGCCTGCCCCCCTTTAACGCTGGTTTAGAGCTATTTAATTGCTCTAGAAACACAATAGCAGAATGACATGACTCCCCTGGTTTATGTTCTTAAGAGCTGGGTCTGGGCCTGGATAATACAAGTTTCATTTTGCACAGCGGGCTCTGGCAGATACAGGCATATAACTCTGTCCCTCCGTCTGCCCATCCACCTGTCCGTTCATCTATCCAGCCAATGCCTTTTTATGTGCCAGGCATTGTCTTAAGGCTGGGGGATCTCAAATAAACAAAACAGCTTAGAGAAATCTGACTTTATGGGGTTTACCTTCTAGTGAGGAAAGATAGAAAATAATAAATAAGTAAATGACTTTCCCCCACAATCTATAAGGTGATAAATGTTTTTGGGGAAAGTAAGGCAGGAAAGAGGCATCTAGGGTGGAGAGGCAGCGCGGGTGGAGACTTTCCTGTGAGTTGTGCACTCAGAGAAAGGCCCGTGAGGGGGTGACATTGGCGCAGAGATCCGCAGCCTGGAGCAGCCCGCATGAGAGCCTTCTGTCGAGTGCAAAGGCCCTGTGGCGGGAGATGCCTGGAGAGTCAGAGAACAGTGAGGCCAGTGTGCCCGGAGCCCGGTGAGGAGAGTGAGAAGGGCAGAGGGCAGAGGAGATGCCCCGGGGCCTCCTAAGACTTTGTAGAGACTTGACTTATTTTAATAAAGGGGGGGGTCATTTGCTTTACAATGCTAAGCCTTGATGGTAAAAGCAGAGTAATAAATCTGCCCACCCTACATGGTTTTTGTTAGCACTTAGGAAAGGCCATGGTGGGCCCGGGGCCAGGTGGTCAGTGGCGGGCTGACGTGGGCGCTTGCCCTCCATCTCTGGGGTTACTGGGTGTTGGCTCCACAGGGGCAGCCCTGTGCCTGTGCCTGCGTGTGTGTGTGTGTGTGTGTGTGCTTTGTTCCCAGACTTGGGCTAGTGCATGCCACATGGTCAGGCTCAGTCAGCACTGGCTGAGCATGTCATTGCTACGCCTTGATTCTACACGAGCAGTACAGGTGGCCACGTGTGAGCCCTGCTCATTTTCGGTCGCTCATAGAGATGGGATGTCCACTCTGCCTTCTCACTCAGGGCGTGATGAAGCATGACGACCAAGCAGCGCTGTCCGGGGCTCTCTGGACCGGAAGCCTGGACTCGGAGCTGTGGCCTGATCCTGGTCATTCTGGGGGTGGTGAGGGTGCTCCTGGCCTGCGGCTCCCCACCAGTGATGGGGGCTCTCATCCTTCTCCGTGTCAGCCTCCGTGTCACGTGGCTACTTTCTGGCAATGTCCTTTGAAAAATCTCCCCAATTATTTTAGGGCACACCTGGCACTTTCCAGGGGGAGGGAGCGTGGACAGCTCTGTTTGAAGCCTTCCTCAAGAGGAGGCGACTGGGGCCTCCCTGCTGCCTCTCTGGGCCTGGCTGTAGGCAGTGGTGGATTGGGGTGATGCAGAGGGAGTAGGGAGGGGGCAAGGTCCCCCCAGTGATGTCGTTTTCTTGGCTGCTCAGTGGACATTTGCACTTCCAGAATTTGGTAATGTAACGACCTCACCAAAGTCTCAAGCGATTAAAATGTATTTCGGTGACTGGGAGCTGGCATGTGCAACAAGTTCAACCTCAGATATTGTTTTGGAAGCCGATTTTAGAAATCTGGCTTTACAGGTGTCTTTATTCATTAATATTAAATTCTTCCTCCTTCCCATCAAAAAATTGTTGAGGCGACACCTTTATATGAAGCCTTCCTAAAATCGCTCAGATGCAAGATGAAAACATTGTGACTAAAGAAATAATTCAAGCTGGCCTTTATCATGTGATGCTTTCTGAATATCAGTGAATCAATCTACTTTTCCAACACCGTTGTGAAAAACAAAAGCCCCAACCGTGTCTTCTGTGTTTCTTGATAGGTCGGGATGAGAGCCTGGAGATGGCAGATAACATCCCATCAATCACGAGATCATGTATCCAGGGGAGGGGAAAAAGGAATTATTTTAGATTTTGTAGTGGGGGAAATTCTTCTTTGAGGAGGTGAGATTTGAGCAGCAAGCTTCACGAAATGAGGTAAAGGCCTGCAAAGTCTGGGAGAAGGGCATTGCAGGCAGAGGAACTGGCAGGTGCCAAGGCCCTGAGGTAGCAATGAGCTCAGCATAGTCCAGAGACAGAAAGAAGGGACAGGTGTGAGGGGGGAGGTATGTGTGTGTGGAAGTACCAGGGAGGAGGGGAACAGCTGGAAAGGGAGGACCTGGGGGGAAGGAGTCAGAAGTGGCAGGGTTTTGCCTGCACAGGGAGGGTTGCGGTTTTACTTTCAAAGGATAAAGGTTGTTAATATTTTAAATGACATGCAGTTCAAACATAATCTTGAAATTTCAAAACATCAACACTTCCTGAGATTCTGTGAAATGATGGCAGAGAATTACCAAGGTGATATTTTCCAAGCTTCCTTTTATTCCATCCCAAAACCCTTGCTCTCCTCTCAGGAGTTTTCTGGACATTGAAGGAGCGTCAGCACGAGGAGTGGCTGTTTCACTAGGCACAATTCTAGCTACATGTGTGTGGGCTCATTTCATGGGAGAAATCCAGGGCTCCATTTCTCTGTGGTCCATTCTGTTTTATGATCAACCCCCGCGAAGCCAGGGGGTCCCTCCGACAGAGGGCTCATTCTCTGTTCTCACAGGACAGAAGATGGTTGCATGAACCCTGGAGCAGGCCTGAGCCCTCTGTCTCTGGAGAAGCAGATAATCATTTCACATTGTTTTGTAGTGGGTCTGCAAGGAATGACACCAGTGAGTCAGGGGTCAGGGAGGGACCCGGAGATAGGCACCCTGCCTCGATCATGGATGCAGCAAAGCCGTGCAGCTGAATTTTTTATTTTTATTTATTTTATTTATTTTATTTTTTTATTTTTTAATTTTTTTATTATTTTTTTAAGATTTATTTATTTATGCATATAGAACTGGGGTACAGGCCAGAGATGTGGAGGGTGAGAGGATTCACCAGAGACAGAGTGGGGAGCAGAACAGGCAGATCGACGAAGTCCACTGCTGAGGGGAGCAGCGGGCGGGTCAGGAGATGTCTGCCACGCCATGTGGTCACCTCCGGGGCAGGCGGGAATCGAACTCATGAGGAAGTGGCTTTTAGATTCTCAGTGCGGTGCTTTAACCCGCTGTGCCACCAGGGAGGGCCTGCAGCTGAATTTTTATCTTCCATACCCAGCACCAGCTGGTCATCTTAGTAGCCTGTCCCTAAATAGCATCACCTTCGTAAAGGTGCTTCATCAGGTAGGAAGTGGGCAGCAGGAGAAGCAGCCTTCGGGGAGAGAAATTTGACCCGCCTTTCTCTAGAGGAAATCTGCAATGGTTTGGGCGCGAACAGGAGATTCCAGCTTACACTGGCCATTTATCAGGACCCACCGAGAGGCGGTGTTTGCCTAGCTGCATCTGTGATTTAAAAAAAAAACAACAAAACACTAGTTTGCCCGTAGAAGCGCCCGCAACCACTGTGTTCCTGAAATCAGCATCACTCAGGAAAGGGAGGCTCTCTCCCAACATGTAGATCGGGTACTGTCGGGGCCATCTGCCAGGCGCTCCCCACCCCTTGCCCAACTCCGTAGTTAAAACGGGTCCACCTGTGAGCCCTGTTTGCTGTAGGAACAAGGCGGCCCTTGGGCAGGCGCTGGGACTCAGAACTGATTTCCCAGGGATGGCCCCGCTTTCCTTGTGAGTGAATAATTGACCCATTTATGGTCTTCTTTCAGCTTGTCGCGGATCCTTGCGCCAGCAACCCTTGTCACCATGGCAACTGCAGCAGCAGCCGCGACGACTACCTCTGCATTTGCAATGAAGGCTTCGGAGGTCCCAACTGCGAACAGGCGCTTCCCAACCTCCCAGCCTCGGGCTGGACCGAGTCGCCCAGACAGCTCCAGCCGGTTCCCGCCACCCAGGAGCCCGACAGCATCCTGCCTGGCTCTCAGGCCACCGTGACCCTGCCCACCTGGCAGCCGAAAACAGGGCAGAAAGTGGTAGAAATGAAATGGGATCAAGTGGAGGTGAGGAGGTTTTGTTGCGTGTCATTTGACGGAAGAAGCCATGGGGGTTAAGTAACTCAGTCCTTTTGCATGTGTGTAGCACATCTCTTGGTCCCACAGCTGGGGATTTCCAGTACTTTTGTTCTTGTGTGCAGAAAAGAATGAGCGAGAAACCGAAAGGAGTGACGTTATTTTCTGGAGTGATATCCACATGCATTTCTGGGTGACATCAAGGCGGACAGCCGGGAAGAGGCCCCTGAACAAACCAAGGCCTGCATCGCACACCTTTTGCTCCCTTCCTTGTGGCTTAGTTTCCAGTTTGGGTAGCAGCCCTGTGATGGGTTTGACAGCAGCATCACCGACATGTCGATATGTTGAGAATGCATTCGAGAATGACATTTTCAGCATTTATTTCTTTGGCAACAGCCGGCGCTCTTGACTATTGTCCCATCTGGATTTGTCCTGTTGCATTTTCAAGGCTCTCAAAGTGTTATTCTGAGGGTTTTTCAGCAGCTCCATAAAAGTTGGGGAGCTAGTGGAGATCTCGAGTGTGGGAGGGCGTCTGTCGCGTGGAAGGTCATGCCACGTCTCGTTCTCAATGTAGGCGACACCCTCGCAACTGTGCGTGATGATAGGTTTTGTCACTTACGTGAAAAAAACACCTAGATCTTTTATGTAGCTTGTACTGGAGTCAAGCAACGCGTGTAGAAACGTCTCTCATGGTTATAAAAGAGGAAAGGCAGCGTTTCTTCTTGCAAAGTAGAGCCGTTGACCCACTTTTAGTTTTCTGTCCTTGCCACACAATTTATGAAGGCCACCTTCAGATAGCTGTGCGGTTAACCTACTAAGATCCATGCACTCGTTCTGATTTCAGACTTTTAATAAACGTGTTCAAGTTGGGAGGTTAATGCCTCCTTGCTGAGTGACTTACTTCTTGCATGCCAACTAAATTTGGTTGCACATTTTTAAAGAAAGTATCCTTTAAGCAAAATCCTCTCCCCCACCCCCAGCCACTTCAATCCTTTTATTTAAAGACACATGTCCTATAGTGGGTAAGTGTAAAAAATACATGCCTCATCTTCCTGCCAGCCTGTTCTCTCTTAGGCTGTTCAAGAAGCAGGTTCAAAGTGCCAGAAGAAGCCACTTGACTGTATTTGGGCTGCCCCTTTCTTCAAGCAATGATGCCTTGGGAACGGGGGGCTCTGGAGTCTTAGGGGCTAAGCCTGATTCCCCAGTGGAATGCTGATCTTTGTCCTCAGGGGCCTTTATCCCCAGCTGGCTGTCTGGCCTCTGGGGAGTGAGCTCTAAGGCTTGAGGGCAGCTGACAGCACTGAGCATTTCTGAATCCCCAGCTCACTCGGGGATGACAAACACTTTGGATGCCCTTTGAGCTGGACTCTGGAGGGTAATGAGGGCCGTACGGCATGAAGAACACTGAAGAGGTTGGTTGGAAGTGCCTGATGGGCACAGCTCAGGTGTTCACAATATGTGCTGACGAGCACAGCCTGCCCTCCCCACCCCCCACCCCCATTTTTAGCTACATTGTGTGATACTTTTGGGAGCATGTCACTTCAAAATGACATTTCCACAGGGAAGAGAAGGGCAGCCATCCAGTTACCCGGCCTTGGCACGTGCCCCAGGTGGCACCCAGACAGGCGGCACCCGGACAGGATACTTCCTGCCCATCACGCTGCTAGCTGTGCCCCCGCCTCTGTGGGCCAGCCCTCAAGGCCCTGTTCATCAAGTACTTCACCCCTCTTTCCTGACTGAGCTGTGGCCATCTTCAGTTATGCGGAGAGTCCTGGGCCCCAACCCTCACCTGCACCGTCCTTTCAGCTGTTTGCCATCCCTGGCACTGGCAGATGTTCTCAGGGGAGCTATTGCTTTCAGAAAGGCACAGCTTTTATTTTTTATTTTTTTAGTTCTTCAGGTTTCTTTGTTCTCTCTCTCTACCCACCCCAGCATCATCGACAGGGACAGAGGGGCACAGCTCATGGAATCCTACAGTGGCATATCACCTGGGACTGGAGTCTTCTGACCATTTGTCCTTTGTGTTTCCAGGTGATCCCAGATGTTGCTTGTGGGAACTCCAGCTCTAACAGTTCTGCGGGGGGCCGCCTGGTGTCCTTTGAAGTGCCACAGAATACCTCTGTCAAGTAAGCAGGTCCCAGGATAGACATGGTTGGGAGCCCTACCATGTTTCTGTTTCCACTCCATACTGTTCGGATGACTACTGCTCTGTAGTATAGTTGTGGTCAGGGAGTGTGAGTCCACCATTTTCCTTTTCTCTCAGGGTTGCCTTAGATTTTTGGGCCTTTGGGTTTCTGTACAAATTGAGAAATGAAGTAGTTTTTTTGGGGGGCAAGAATAGATGGCTCTTGAGGCGATCTTGGTAAGCAAAATAAACCAGGATGTTAAAGATGGATACTGAATGTTTTCATTGATTTGTGGCATATTCATAACTAAAGAAAAACTGGTGAAGCACAGCAAAATTAATTCTTAGAGTAAAAAATATACAAGTTATAGGAGGGGGAGATAGGGAGAGAGTAGGGGGACATTGGATGGGAATCTCGTGGGGGGTGAGCGAAGCATATCTACATATGGAGTTGCAAATTGCACCCCCCAAAGTGTACAGTTCTGTAAAGGGCTGCCAAATTAATAAGCTTTGAGGGGAAGGAAGGGTTGTGTCCTTACGCTGGTTGTCTGTCCCTGGACTAGGCCTGTAGCTGGTCAGTCGGAGAGAATTATGAGTTCTATGTGTAGCCAGGGAAGGCCTATGTCCCTCAGACGTGCGGGAGGCCACTTCCAAGACTCCTCCAGGGCAGACCCAGTAGCTGGCGGGGGGGGGCAGAGCCATGGGAGTGAGGCTGGGAGAGCCAACTGGGTGAGAAAGGCTGACACCTTAGAGAAGGTCCAGAGCGCCTCTCAGCTCCAATGGCTTTTGCTTGCAAGATACCTGGGCTTCTTCACATTTGAATGGGCTATTGGTTAAATTCATATGCACAGTTGCCCCAAATTTAAAATCCAACCATTTTCTCCTTAAAAACAAGCATTGTGGGGAGAGAGTGTTTGTTTTATTCTTAAAACTCTTTCAATTACATCTGGCCCCTTATCCCCGGTGGGGATGGGGAAGAAGCATGGGGAGTGCAGGCTGGCTCAACACCTCTTGGGGGGCAGGCACTTTGGGTCGCTGGGGAAGGGGGTGCTGGGGGTTGGAGCGGGCAGTTCCACACCTGACAAACCCCATGTGTTTCAATCCTGTTGTAAAGTGTCCCCACCCTGCAACTGATTATCCTTGCTGTGCAGTCTTTGGGGATGTTAGACGATGGGGGTGGGGGTGACAGCAGCCCCGTCTAACCAGTGTGAAGGGGGCAGCGGGCCCTATCCCAGCCTTCCATCGGTGCAGGCTGATTTTGCCCTCTGAAAATCCGAGTCCCTGAAAACGCTTGGAAGAGGGTCTTTGCTGCATTGCCCTGTATCCTGTCCCTCCAGCCTTATGCTCATGCAGGGGCAGGGGCGGGAAGAACCGGGGGCTGTGCCCCGGGTGACTCAGGGGAGAAGTTCCACAGGCAGAAAGGTGTGGCTGGGCGGCCGCTTCCTGTTCTACCAGCAGGGGGACCCCGGTCCTCAGCATTTCCTTGCTTAGCTTACAGAGGAACCCCACCAATCCAGAGCAGGGGTTTGAAAATAAGGATCCCCAGTTTCCTTGATGTCTGTGAAAGCACCTGCCAGCCCTTCCTTGCTAGGTGACACCAGCTCCTGTTCACAAGCCTCTCTGAGCAGTGCCAACCTCCTGTCCTTTTACTGCTCCCGTTTCTTGCCCATCCCCACGGGGACAAGGGGCAAGATGTAATTTGACAAGATCGGGCGCATTCAGGGTGGTATGGTCGTAGAGTAAGATGTAATTTGAGAGAGTTTAGAATAAAACAAATCAAAACACTCTCTCCACCTGCTTGTTTTTTTTTTTTTTTT